TGTGTGTGTGTGTGTGTGTGTGTGTGTGTGTGTGTGTGCACGCGCATGTGTGCATTGTGTGTTTGTTGAGAGGTATAATGACACACAAACACATATTCAGTGTAAGAGTGAACAAACAGGATTTAAGGTGATCAAAATTGAACTTTGCTGATGGATTAAAACCTTTTTTAAAAGTCACGAACCTCAGTTCAGAGAAGTCCTGTTATTTTTATCATGTCAAAAAAGAAATATATTCAAACAACATTTTTTTGGCGAAAAGAACCAAAACTTGTCTACATCGTGATTAAGAAATTCTATGGAGATAAATAAGTGTCAAAAGTGTGCAATATGACAGATCAGTCAACATAAGTGCACAGATCAGAGTGCCTGTAATGTTGAGACTATCTTTCACAAAATGTAACTCTGCATTCATGGATGTTGTAAAGCCWGGACACCTGCGCCAAACTGTCAGACATCAGTCAGTTCATCAACTTTTATGTTGTTGTTTTTTATTATTTACAATGGCCAAATGTGAAAATGAACAACCTTTTTATAAATGTAATTTTAATTAATTGGGTTCTTTTTAACGTGCTGAACTCTGTTGTAAATCCTTGTGATGCCAGTCATGTTGTTGAATCTCCTGCACTGTGTGAAAACCATTTAAACATTTTTATTGAGAATATTTCTGCTCTGAAACCCTCTTCAGATCAAAGTGATGCTGACTCTTCTTCACCAACTTTATCCTCAGCTGTTCTTGAATGATTTGAGCTGGTGTCTTTGCTTTAAAGGGTGTTGTGCAGCAAATGCGACCCACAAATTCACCTTTGGATAATGTTCCTTCTCATTTTTTAAGGATGATTTTTATACTCTTGGGCCAGCCGTTGTCTCTCTAAATAATATGTCACTTTCATCTGGCAGTGTTCCAGCTGCTTTAAGCATGCTGTGGTACAATCCCTCATAAAAAAGAAAAACCTCAATCCAGCAGTTCTCACAAAGTTTAGACCGATTTCAAAACTGTGTTATCTGTTAAAGGTTTTAAAGAAAGTTGTTTTTATTCAACTTCAAGGTTTTTTAACAGCCAATAATATTGGTGAACAGATCCAGTCAGGCTTTAAATCCTGCCACACGTCACTGAAACTACATTTTAAGGGTTTTTAATTATTTTCTTTTAACAGTACATTCAGATAGCTCTGCTGTTTTCATGCTTTTAGATCTTTCTGCTGCCTTTGATRCCATGGACCACAACATCTTACTGTCGTTACTGAAGCAGGTGGTTGGTATCAAAAGCACAGTTTTGTCCTGGTTTAGTTATTACCTGAAGAATAAGGGTTTTTCTGTTCATTTAGGGGAATGCTCCTCTTCTAGTGCTCCTTTGATTTGTGGGGTCCCTCAAGGCTCTCTTCTAGGTCCTCTGTTTTTTAATCTTTACATGTCACCTCTAGGGTCCATCTTTTTTAAATATAAGAATCTTTTCCATTGTTTTGTGTTTTATCTGTTGCTTTAGATGATCAAGAAACAAATTATACACTTCTATTTTTAATTCTTGAATAATGACTGCATTTGATAGTTTAGGGCTAGAGCAGCTCGGTGGTCCATGCTGCAGTCTCGTAACCCTGAAGCCCAAGCTGTGACAGGAAGGACACCTGGTGCAAAACAACTGTCAAACATTTGATGCAAGTTTACTTGTTGTGGCCACCCTTGAAGAAGAGAGCAGCCAAAAGATAAATAAAAAACAGTATTTGATGTGAAATTTAGACAAGTATCAGTCAGATACAAAAACTATTGAAGCTGAACAATCACAGTCAAAAAGCACAAAAATGTTACATTTAATTTCTCACATTAATCCAAACAACATGGTCAACTCATGATAAGTAATCATTATACTGTGAGTTTTGTGTTGGAGTAGAAAATAATTTTTAACACCTGGAGGTGATTTGGTCTTTATTTAGATAAACGGTGACTGTACAAAACTGTAAAAGATGAGTGCACCATGATGACAGCTGTCAGCAGCTGCATTCATCCATATAACCACTGTAAGATTACACTGAACATACATGCATACAACCACGCTCACAACTGTACAGGATTGTCATTGTGTGAAGCAACACCATTGTTTTGCTCTTTTATGGTTTCATCTGTAACTAAAGGCATTGCCATGAAGAATGCATATAATTTTAAACTAATTATCTTGAGAAACGATTAAGTTAAAACCCTTTTGGTCAAATCTTCAGAATAGCATTGTGCAAGATCATGCAACATGTTACTAGAGTCCGTCCGTCCGTTTTCTTCCGATTATCGGGTCAGGTCACAGGGCAGCAGCCTAAGCAGAGAGATCCAGACTTCCCTCTCCCCAGTCAATTGGGCCAGCTCATCTGGGGGAATCCGTGTTCCCAGGCCAGCTGAGAGTAGTCTCTCCAGCATGTCCTGGGTCTTCCTCTGGGTCTCCTCCCAGTGGCACATGCCCAGAACACCTCACCAGGGAGGTGTCCAGGATGCATCAGTACAGCGCCCACATCACTGCAGATGCAGCACCAATCCGCCTGTCGATCTCCCGCTCTATTCTTCCCTCATTTGTGAACAGGACCCAGAGMTACTGAAACTYCTCCACTTGGGGCAGGACCTCCTCCCCGACACGGAGAAGGCACCCTACCCTTTTCCAGCTCAAGAGCATGGTCTCATATTTAGAGGAACTGATCCTCATTCTGGCCACTTAAAAAGTTATGAACAGAATCTGTGACAAAGGGCAATCTTGCTGGTGTCCCACTCTCACTGGAAATGAGCYTGACTTACTGCTGACAATGTGGACCGAACTCTGACACCGGTCATACAGGGACCTAACTGCCTGGCTCAAGGGGCCAAGTAAATCATACTCCCAGAGTACCCCTGATAGGAGTCCCYGAGGGACATGGTTAAACACTTTCTCCAAGTCCACAAAACACAYGTAGACTGGTTGGGTGAACTCCCATGCACTCTCCAGGACYCTGCTGATGGAGTAGAGCTGGTCCAGTGTTCCAC